GAGAAATAAGAAAATCCTGGAAACAAGTGAAAAATGAAGACACCACTTATCTATAGGATTCTGAAAAAGTGGCACTAAAAGGAAGTTTATACTACACAGACCTACCTCAGAAATCACAAAAAGTCACAAAAAACTCTTAAGTTTACACATTAAAAAAAGTAGAAAAGAAGAAAAATCTAATCCAAAGTCAATCAGAACAGAAGGAGAAATTTGCTGGAATATAAATAGGTGGGACCATTATGAAAAGCGGTAGCCAAGAGTTGGAAACACCAAAGTGCCCATGAACAAATGATTGACTAAGATGCAGTGATATATACAGAGTGGAATACTACTCAGCTATATAGAAAGAAGAAATCTTGCCATAAGCAACACAACATAGATGCATCTAGATGGTATTATGATTAATGAAATAAGTCAGATGGAGAAAGAGAAACACAAATTATTTTTACTCATGTGTGGGTCATAAATAAGAAAATGAATGAGCTAATAAAACAAAAATAAATTTAAACTATAAGACCATATTAATGGTTACCAGAAAAGAAGGGGGAAAGAAGGTGAGTAAATCAGTTATATGATGAGGGATAGAATAAGACTTTCAAACATATGTAAACACAATATAATATATACAATGTTGGTTTATAATGATGAACACCTAAAACCTATATAAGGTTTTATCCACATCACTTCAATAAAAGCTCTTTTTAATATTAGTAAGTAAATATAGAGATTATCCCCAATTACCTGAAGACCAGTGTAATTACACTGTAAGGACAAGGATCCTTAAAATTAGAAGAAAATACCAGAACATGAAGTCAGGAGTATATAGTGTGAGGACAACCACTATTTCTGACATGAAGATGGAGCAGAAGAGTGACAGGGCACCATTAAAACATGGGGAAGAAAAGAAAACGGAATCTCCCCTCTAGCTTCCAGAGAGGAAGGCAGTCCTGCCAATACCTTCATTCTCACACTGAGACTCTGGTCTGACTTTGACCTCCAGACAAGACACAAAAATATGTTGCTGTTTTAACTAACTAAATTTATGGTCTTTTGTTCAAAAAGTAAAAGAAAACTAAAACTCAAAGTAAAATTCCATCCTATAAAAAATCAATAATGTTTACTGTAAAAATCGTTGCCCAATTTCATTTTCCCTCTCCTAACGCACTGAGATGATTTTCTCCCTCCTGTGAATCTCAGCTCTTCGCCTCCATTTCTGTGTGAGCAAACCCTGATTCCAAGGAGAAGACAGAGCCTGAAGACGGGAGTTTAGAAAGAATCCTGCAAAGTGGGGCCCATGTGACACCCCTAGGGACAGGGAGGAGGTCAGCAGTGTGTGGGGGGTGGGGGTCACGCACCATAGACAGTGAGCTGGAAACCGTGGGACACTTCCTCTGCCTCCTGTTAACTGAGCTCGAGCCCAGTACCGCCCACTGTCCTCAGGGCTCAGGTTCTCCATCCTCAGGGACGTCATGTTGGGCACGTGGACCCTCTGCTCATACTTGTCCCGGAGGCTGACCCAGGTAGGAGCATCTTCTTTCCCACGATGGACTCGCAGGAAGACTCTGTAGTCTGACTCAGGACCAATGCCCCACTCCGTCTGCTCCAGCTCAGCTGCCCAGACCTTGCTCACGTGAAACAAGACAGAACTTCCTCGGATCCCCTTCAGAGGAAGATTGGCTCCAGGGTCTTTCACTCCAGAACTCTGGGCCCCAGGGCTGCAGGTGCCTAGGGCAGTGGAAACAGACCCCTGAGGATTATTTTCATTGCAAAGAATAACTGAAAACCGTACCACCACATTTTTTAGCGAAATCCATGCAATATTCTCTGTTGATTATTGGAAGTCACCTTGTGGAGTAGAACCTGTACATGTTCCATAAACTTCAGTTCCCTCACCTGCCTCATCATGATCGTACAAATTACATGAGAACATGGACAAGAGCACCAACCACAGTCAGGTACATTCCAAGTACATAACTATAGGAGGAGCTCTAAGTGTCCACAAAGGTCTCTGTGCTCCTAACCTCTGTCACTTCCACCTGGAGTGGGGGTGTACCTAGTGACCCCCTCTAAGGAAACAGAATACAGTATGGTTAGGGGGAGCCACTTAGCAATTCTAGATTAAAGACCATGAATCAGTCCTTCCCCACACTCTCTCCTTTCCTCACTCTGATGAAATGGCCAGCCATGTAATCAGCTGCCCTGTGCAGATGCCCACATAAAAAAGCACTGAGGGCAGCTACAGTCACATCCAGTGAGGAACTGGGGCCCCGAGTCAAACAGCCGCAGGAGCTGCATCCTGTCAGCAAGCCCAGCGTGGGCTTAGGAGATCCTTCCCAGCAATCCTGAGGCCACTGACCTCTGGTTAGAGGCCTAAGTAGACAGAAGTTCCTCCTGACCTAAGCCAGACATACACTGACCCACAGACAGTGTATGCACTCGGAGCTCTCTTTAAGGCACTAGATTTTAGGGTGACCACTCACACGACAGAGACTAACATAACAAAGGTTGCTCTCCTTCCAATCCTTTGAGCTATGCAGTACTCAGAATGGGTGAGGCTGGGCTGTGTAAAAAAAACAACATGATCAGTCCCTTCGGCTTTCAGAACAAGGTCAGTTCTCATCCCATACAACATGTCCATGAGAGAGAGAGAGGGTCCTAACACACATGGTGGGGGCTCCACACCTTGTAGCTGCACCCCATGGAGCCCAGTGTCTTAATGGTCTGTCAGTACCACTCAAACTATGTTCTTCAGTCACTCTTTTCATTCTTAACATTCCTACTTTCATTGCTTGTGTTTTAAATTTTTGATCTTCAGGCAATTTACTGAGATGTCACACTAGTTGACCTAGTGCATTGGGAGGTCAAAAGCTTGAGGTTAGAGTCAGCGAGTCCAGTCTCCATTTTCAGGCTCTGTGAGCATAGACAGTTATTCACCTGATGCCTTCAGCTGTCTCACCTGTGAAATGAAAATAATAGCACTGCTGACCTCATAGAATGAGCATGGAGATTTAAAACCAGAAAAACTCCTGCTCAGTGTTCCATAACTACTGCAGACATGGCGCTGCTCTCACTGTGATGATGATCTGACCCGGCATTCCTGGATCAGAACCTGAATGTCCAGGTACAGGGGTGAGCCGTTTTCACCACCAGCTGCTCCCTCCACCAGCTGCTCCCTCAGGTGTCTCCTCCTCGGTGCAGAGATGGGCCCCAGGAGTCAGACACCCCAATCCCGTAGGTGTCATTAGGGAGTCACAGTCCTGCCAGGGCTTCCTGTTTACCAGGCCTGAAGTGGAAAGGACATGCGTGGCTGTGCGTGGACAGCGGGTGTCCACTGCACGGTCACCCCCGGGTCACTAGGCACAGGAGCACAGCTGTGTTGCTGGGAGTGGTGCGGATGGGGAGAGGACAGGCTGTATGTTATCACAAACTGGGCTGGAAAAAATATACATTATTGACTGTATTCAGTGTGTTCATTTTTTTCTTTCTTTAATGGGATGTTCTGTAATTATGAAACTATTATATGTTTAAAAAATATATAGATTAGGGGATTGATGCAAGTCTAAGGTCTACAGGCGCCTCCTCCCTAGGTAAGCACTGCTGCTGACGTGTCCCTGCCAGGCCTTCATGGTGTTCCCGCAGCACTTGAATCCTGTCAACACGGGACACGCCCTGGTCAATTCACAGCAGTGTTCCCAGTGGCCCACGGGTGCGTGTGACTCTTCCTCTAAACAGATGTCAGCATCCTACTGCTTCCCTCATCAATAAATGGGCAAAATAAAAGTAGTCTTTAAAACCTAAGTTCCTTATCAGAGTCAGCGCTATCTAATGTTGAAACATCAAGTTTTATTTATTTATTTTTTAAAGAGTCATTTATTTATACGAGCACAGGGGTATAGGCCTGAGGACGGGAGAGTGAAAGAATTCACCAGAGACAGAGCAGAGAGCAGAACAGGCAAAAGGACCAAAGACACTGCTGAGGGAGCAGCGGGCGAGACAGGAGAGGTCTGCCTCACCATGTGGGTATCTCCCTGGCCGGCCAGAAATTGAACTCACGCTGCAGAGGCTGCGGATATCTTCACAGCGCTGCGCTCAGCCCACTGCGCTCAACCTGCTGCACCACGGGGAGGCCCAAAACATCAAGTTTTAGATGCAACAAATAACACAAACTATTCCATCAAGAAACAGCTCTTTGGACCACGTGCTGGGGGAGGATGTGCAAACAGCATTTCCATCGAATGTGGAGGCTTCTGAGGGACTGTCACTAGTAATTCTGTGTCTTATCGCCACTCTCCACCCCAAACACTGGCAAGCACCAGGAGAACAAAGAGAAATAAGGAAAAATCCTGCTTAACAGACAGGAACTGAAGAGCTCTGGTCTTGGGGCATCTGCCCGTCACAGCAGGAGCTGCTCCCCTGGAGCTTTGCAGCCCAAGTCCCCAGTGGGGGAGGGAGAGATGTCCTCAGCAGGGGTCTCAGGACACTGTTCCCTGAGAGACACTCAGGAGCAGAGACAAGAAAACAGGCCAGGAGGGACGCCAAAGGGGGCTTGAAGAGGAGGCTCCTCCCTCCTCGGAGTGCTGAGTTGGTGACACAGGGATGGCTGGGGTCTGCCCTCTGCAGGTGTCCCACACGGGCTCCCCAGTGTCCATCCTGTTGGGACACGGGGACAGGGCAGGCAGGATGACAAGACAGAGCTGAGACATGAAGTAGCCCCAGGATGGTCCTGTCTGGTGGAGGCACAGAACCCCAGAATATCACAACTGGTGGGGGGGACCCAGGGGACCCACCCAGCCCTGCCTTTCACAGAGGAGGCTCCCCAGGGGTGAGCCTGTTCTGGGTGCACGGGGCAAAACAGCCTGGACCAGCTTCCTCTCTCAGCACAGCTTCACCCCTGCAGGGGTTGCCCCCCAGTTCCCCTCCCCTGCCCCAGGGCTCCTCCTCCAGCACAGTGTCTGACCCCCAGGAGCTCAGCACACCCTGAGTCTCCCTCCAGGGCCCCCTCCTGGGAAAGGGGAGCAGGGCTCAGTGGGGTGAGCAGAGCAGAGACTCCTGACAGCTGAGGCCAAACAGCAGCCCCCCAGATGGCCCCTTCCCATAACAGGGACCAGGGAGAGAGGGGCTCAGCCTCAGGTGCAGGGAGGATCCCCAGAACTTGGAGGATCCCCAGAACTGGATGGGGAGAAGCAGCTGTGAGGAAATGGAGGAGACAGAGAGAGAAGGAGCAGCAGGGCTCTGTCCTCCAGAAGGGGACTCCTCAGTAGATGCCAGGGAGGGTGTGAGGGGAAATGAGTTGAGGAAAAGTTGATTTTAATAAGAAAAATGTGATGCTAAAAAATCACCATAAAATATTTCCCATTTGCCCCCATCTCCCTCCCCCTCTACCCCTGCTTGCTCCTGTACCCTGCACTCACTCTCGCTCTCGCTCTCTTTCATCTCATAATCTTCCAATACCAAAGTCTATGAGAAAATTGTGTTCAATTCAATGTATCTCCCTTGCTAAATAAAATTGAAGAAAAAGAGAAAGTCTACATTTTGGTCTTGTTCAATGTTATTAGTTAAAAGGACTGTGATATCTAACAAATCTCACTGTTAAATCAAAACATCTTGTTCACACAGGCTTCTAACCCCTTAAAATTTATATCATCCCCTGCAAGTTCACAGAGTGAGTAGGATAGTAAAACAAAAACATACAACAATGAAAGCTCTCAAGTCATTCACCAGAAATCATAATTCTCTAGAGCTTATTACTTTCTCATTTGTATGTATTTAATTTCATTGTATATACAAACACCATCTCTGGTAAAGCCATAAATGTGACATTTAGCTTCACCAAGGCATTTCAGTTCCCTTTTTGCTAAACCCCCACCCTCTCTACTTCCCCTTCCTTTTCTCCTCCCAAGGTTTACGCTGCCTACAGCGTAATTTATACCTTTCCACTTTTTCTCCAGGATATTGTAACACATGGGTATATAGACACCCTTAAATTTGGGAAAATGCTGTAACTCTTACAAGATTAAAATTTCACAGTGCTCAGCCCCCTGCACTTGCACAATCCGAGACGTGACCTGTGGAAATTAAAATCCCACCCAGACAACTGGGCCCTGCTTTTAGCTTCCACATATCATAAAACTTGATACTCCATGATTTCCTCATCATCCCAAAGAGAAGGGAACCCCCCTGTTGCCAAGGTTTTCCTAAAACAGTGTCTTGGATAAAGGACAGCCCCCAGAAGATTCACTTATCAGAAATCAAATAATTTCTTGACTTTTCATGATGAAATCTAACACTATAGCAGAATGTAGAATTCATAAGCAATTTTAAGTTAAACCTGTACTTAGTGATGATCTGCTTGGAACTGATCCCCACCCCAGTGGGAGCACATGGTCACTCCTCTTTTAGTGGAGAAGCCTAAGACCCAGAATGCCAAGACCCCTCCGGATCAGACTCAGTGTTCCAGGTAGGCCTCTTATCCACATAACTGCAGAGACTCTCTGGTACTTCTCCAGCCCCTACCCCCAGGAGCAACCTTCTTTGCCTCCATCCCCTCCCCAGAGAGCTCCAGGCCCCCTGCCTCCCTGGTATCTCAGCAAAGTGGCCTCACCTCCTGAAGACTTCCCTGGACACAGTCCAGGCTGTCCCGGCATAGTGCCCTGCCAGTCCACAGCCAAAATATCACCTCGTCCTTTCCAGCCACCCTGGGATCTAAAGCAGATATGATGCTTTACAGTTGTTTTGTTCTTTGAATCACCAAAGACATCAAGCAGGGAAAGAATAGCTGCCTCCCTCCTCCCCACCCCCCACAACTGCCCTCCCCCCAGAAATCGGAGCCACTTACTGAGGAGAAGGCTGGTGAGCCCCAGGACCCAGGTGACCCGGCAGAGGTGAGGGGTCTTCTGGGCAGGGCCCCATCCCAGGCTGCCCGTCAATCTGATGAGCTGCAGAGGAAACATCTAGAGGCAGAGAAAAAGCAGAGGAAAAGCTTCACTCAGATAAGCCTCCTTAGTTTCTTCCCCACCCCAAGGGCGGGGCTACAATATTCGTTCTGGGAGACAGATCTCTCTTCTAGAATCAGCCATTCAGATCTTATTATCCCAGGACCGAAAGCAAGACCTCAATCAATGACTGCAGGATGAATGTGCAAACAAACCCTTGTTTCATAGGCTTGGCACTGTATTGGGGAGGCCCCCTCCGGTGAAGCTTGGTGCACACCCCTGCCCCCACCCCTTCCCCTATACCCTCTCCAGACCCTTACCTGCTTTCTGGGGCGAGCAGCATTGCCATACTCAGGCACAGAAGTCACACTCAACAGAAAGTCTGGGCTTCGCCCTCCTGTTGCCTGTCCTCAGTCCTATATTATTAAATGAGTCAAATTCCCGTTTTGATTTCTTTTCCATAAACTTCACCTATCACTGACCTAATCAAGCAGCTGTTGAGCAAAGTGACAAAGCTCTTGGTGGAGATGTCAACTCCCCACACCCCCAATGCAAATTGTAACTGACCTATTGCTTATGCTTATGTGGCTCCTAAGCAACCCTGAGAGCTGGTTCTCCTCCCAAGCAAAAGGCAAAGCCAACCCCCACAGAGGCAGCCTCACACCCAGAACTTCCCTTTGAGCCTCTGCCAGCCCTGCTCCTGCCCTCACAACTGGGTGGGGACAAGGGCCTGCACTGCCCTCCTGCCCAGGGCCCAGCTGCCTCAGACATGCCCCTGTCAAGGACCACAGCCCAGTGGACACCCCACAGCATCACTGAGAGCTCTCAGCTCCCACACCCTGGGGAACAGCACCTCTCTCTGACCCCACAGGGCCTCTGTTGCTGCCCACTGGGGTCCCCCTCAGCTGCCCAGGAGAGCATCACCAGGCTGGGTCCACAGGACGGGCCCCGCCACCTGCACTCAAGGGGGTCAGGGATGGCACAGCAAACCCACTTATGGATGAGATCCCGAGCCCCAAAGGGGCTGTGAGTCTGCAAAAGATCACACAGCAAGTCACAGGCAGTGTGTGCCTCCCAACAGCAAACTGGACAATCCCATGTGCATCATACCCTCTCCTGTGGCTCAAACAAGTCACCCGAGGCCAGCCTTGTCTGCCCTGTAACTGCCCTGCAGTATCCCAGACAAGATAATATCCCACACTCCCCCCCACCCCACCTGGCAGTGGGAATCTTCTCTCAGTGGGCATCCAGGAGCCCTGATGTCAGAAGTTCTTGCACAGTCAGAATCCGGCAGCTCCTCCCCTGCTCTCTCCTGTAATGGGAGCAAGTGTCTGTGTGTCCCCTACTATGTTCTCACACCCCTGTGAGTGCCTGTGGGACACTGTTCACCTGGAAAACCATTTGCTGAAGGGGGTGGGGAGAGGAGCTAGCAAGAGGGACACACAGTGTGGCAGCAGGTCAGGGACTCTGGGGGGGCAGGTGACAGACACTCACATGCTGACAAAACAGCAGTGACTTTTACAGCCCACACACCTAACCTCATTTCATCATCCCTGTCAGCAGTGCTGAGACACAGCACACAGGTAAGTACACACACACACTCACACACACACACACAGAGTCATTCACATACACACACACACACACTCATACCCTGCGAGCCTTGTGAGAGTTTACTACACACACCGCCTGGTGCCAGGGGTGCTGGGGGTGAGGGGAAGGTCCCCCTGGACCTATAGCAGCACAGAGTGTGTTTCTGGAATGGCAGATGGGAGAGGTATGTGGGGCTCCATGAGATGGAGTGTCAGGACAGAGGCCTGAGAGGGGACCTGGAACATGCACCCTCCTGGGAGTTTACAGAAGCTGTGGGAATGTCTTCTGGGGCTTGGTGGGCCACAGCTATTTACCTGAATTCTAAAGGACAAGACACCGTATTTGACAACTGGGTTATAAGAACACATTTAATATAATACAAGTAATATCTACTCAGTGCCACAACATTATATGTTTTTATTTATCAGTTCACTATAAGGTCTTCACAACAGCATATAACCTCAGCATTACATGCATCTTATGAGGCAGCATCCTGAAAGCCCAGAGATGAAATAACTTGCTCAAGGTCACATTTGAGGTACATGGTTAGGGGCTCCCAAGTCATCACATCAGCCCAGAGGGGGGACTTGGGGGGCGGAGGAGGGAGGGTAGTATAGAATTCCAGACATATCAGGGCTGTTCCCTGATGTGGGAGGAAACTGCAGTACCTGGAGGACAGGCTGGAACCCAAGTAAAGGAGAGTAAGGGGCGGGGTCTGAGGATGTCTGTCCCATGACCCCCTGCCTGGGAGAGAGAGAAGCAGGATATGGGGACATCTTAAAGATGGTGCTTACCTGCTCCTCAATCCCACAGAAATTCTGCCCCTCCAGTAACTGGTTGAGATTAGCAAATGAATCTCCTTTACCTGTGGCCTGAGCTCTTCTAAGCTTCTGCTTCTAGTGTGAATGAGCATGTCCTCAGGCCCCTAAGAGAGGAATCTCTGTTCCTTAAGCCTTAGGGTTCTCCTTGGTGCACACTATTTTTCCCAAAGGCAGACTTTTAGGGAGCATGTCTTCTAGATCAGGCACTAAGTTTGGGGTAACTCATGTGGAGCACAAACCCTTGTTCCTCAGGAAAAGGCTCTGTATCCTTCTTAATTGGGGGTCCTAGTACTGAGGGTGGGATTCAGTTGAGACTGCATTCTGACTCCTCTACCCTTGTCAATGTGGTCTTTCATCCATCTATATAGAGGAGCTATTGAGCAACTTATCAGTTATCTCAGAATAAATTTCTCCATATTTATTGTTAAATTTGTTTTTTCTATAGGAAGAAGTGAGTTCAAAAACCTGTCTATGTGCCATTTTGAACCAGCTTCCCACTCTCAAGGTTTTTGGAGCTTGTTTTATGGCCTAACATATTGTTTTCTGGGAGAATATTGCATGTACACTTGAGAAGATTGTGAAAACGGATAGTTAGCAGCAAAAGACAGAGAATGGAGCATTCAACAGGGTCTGTTAGATATTGATCTTTTTCTGTTCTGTTCTCTTCCATTACCTTAGTGATCTCTGCATTTTTCTACCAATTATTACTATTGGCTTACTGAAGTCTATTCTACCTTCTATTCCATCTTTTTTTGCTCATATATCTGGAAGCTATTTTTATATGTTCACATCTTTATAATAGCTATATCTTTTTGATGAGTAGTTCATACTGTTTTATAAAAACCACTTTTTGTTTCTAACATTTTTTATCCTAAAGTCTATTTTGTCTAATATCAGCATTGTCACTCCTGCTTTTTTTCATATTGTTTGAATAGCACATCTTTTCCACACTGTTGTTTCCCAGTCTATAGTATTTAAAGTGCCTCCATATTGGTAGCATATACATCAATCATTCACTTTATTCTTTATGACTTTTATTTGGAGTATTTAATCCCTTACATGTAATATAATTTTTTTAAGATTTATTTATTTGTTTATTCAAGCACTGGGTACAGTCAGAAGTGCAGGAGGGTGAGAGAATTCACCAGAGCCAGAGGGGAGAGCAGAGCAGGCAGACTGACGAAGTACACTGCTTAGGGGAGCAGCGGGTGGCAGGAGAGGTCTGCGCGTATGTGGGACCCTCGCTGGTGGCCAGGGATCAAACCAGTGCTGCAGAGGCTGAGGGCAGCTTTGCAACCCAGCACTCAATCACTGCAAACACTGGGGAGGTCCAACATGTAATGTAATTATTGATGAGGTAATATATATGTCTGCCATTTTCCTATTATTGTCTTTGTCTTTCAGGGTTTTTATTCTTTTAAAAAAAATTGATTGATTGATTGATTGATTGATTTATACAAGAACCAGGGTACAGATCAGATGCGTGGGAGGGTGAGAGGATTCACCAGAGACAGAGCAGGGAACAGAACAGGCAGACTGATGAAATACACTGCTGAGGGAAGCAGTGGGCAAGACAGGAGAGATCTGCCGTGCCATGTGGGTTTCTCCCTGCTGCAGAGGCTGCAGACAGCTTACAGTGCTGCACTCAATCTGCTGCACCACCAGGGAGGCCCACAATATGTAGTGTTAAATAATTTTTAATAGTACTCAGCAATCATTCACAAGCATGACAACTATTTAAATATAAGCAATATAAACATATAATAGTTTATATATGTATATCCATATAAATAATATAAATTATAATAGCTAGCACTTATTGAGTTCTTGCTATGTGATATGCATTGTTCTAACACTCCACATGCCTTAACTCATTTAATCTCCATCTACACTCTGTGAGATAGGAACCATTACCCCTCTTTCCATGTTGGAAAACTGAGAAAGGCAAAGTCACTGTTCAAGTCCACTTGGGAGAACCAGGACTGAAATGCAGCTAGTATGACTCCACAGCCACTCTGTCATCATCCTGCTGACTGCTCTCACATATACCAGCTACCATAGACCCGACTGCGTGCCCCAAAAATTCATGTTGAAGCTCTAACTGCCCATGTGATGATTCTTCCAGATGAAGCTTTGGAAGGATATTAGGTTTAGATAAGGCCCATGAGGGTGTGCACTGGAAATGGGGATAGAGCCATGAAACAAACTTCCCTCCCCACCTCTCTCATATCTCCCACATGGGACACAGGAAAGGGTATCATAAACCAGAAATTAATCTCTAACCAGACCCTGACCATGCGGACACCCTGATCTCTGACTTCCACAACAGGGAAAATAAATATCTGTGTATTAAGCCACCATCTATAGCATTGCTATGGAGGCCTGTAGCAATGTATATTGCTACATTATCACCTTTGGCAAATGACAAGTTCTTCTAGTCCTCAGAGGAAAAGGCAACAGAAAGGGAAGCTTTCAAGTCCTACCATCAAGCTTTTAAATGACCTGTTTTTATTCATGTTGTCCTAACTTTCTCTCCTATCCCCAGGGAAGACACTGAACTTCTAGTGTCTAAACCTAGTGACCTATTTCTCCAAAGAAAAGAAAAATACCAAATCAAAGAGATATCTTCATCACCAGGGTCATTGCTGACTCATTTAAAATTACTTCACTGATAAGAACAGATACTACACTTGATCAAGAAGATGTGGTGTATATATATATACACACACACACACCACACACACACACACACACACACACACACACACACACACACACACAATGGAATATTACTCAGCAATCAAAAAAGATAAAACTCATGCCATTCACAGCAACATGGATGGAGCTAGAAGGATTTATGCTCAGTGAAATAAGGAAAAAGAAAAAAAAATGAATGTTTCATTTATAACAGGAATATAGGGGAACCAAATAAGACA